TTTTCAGATACCTGCAGCTCAGGCACTACTTTAATAAGAACATTAAAACATTGGAAAAAGATGATCAAGACCTCATTAATATCTTTATTGATGCTTATAAAAGGTAAATCCTATAAGAAGAGGCTGTCAGAATATATGGGTGCTTAGAAGCCAATAAAAAAACAACAATATATATTAAAAATTCATGGGAAAGGCAGGCAAAAATAACACTGACAGAGGATGAGTGGCTAAACATTTGCCAGATTAACTCCACCACCACAAGCTCAGGACAATGGAGGGGATTTTCATGGAAGAATATTGTTAGATCTTTTTTATAACCTCCAAAAGAACATTGTGTCAGACCAGCAGGACCGAATCAGGGCACTGTTGGAGACCATGTGATAATGTGATGGCTGACCACTTCCACATTTTCTGGGGCTGCCCACTGATTTATTCCTATTGGTCAAAGGTTACCAAAGAGATGAGAAAAATTCTTGGATTTGAAATAAAGCATAACTTTAAAACTATATATCTGGGTAATTTACCAAGTGAACTCAACACTCAGGATAAGTACCTTTTGAAAATACTACTAATAGCAAGTAAGAAATCAATAACAAGAAAGTGGCTTACTGGGAGCCCACTGACATTGAGGGACTGGTTAGCCACAGTAGAAGAAATATGTGAAATGGAAATGTTTACTTTTTCCCTAAGACTCCAGGAAAACAAAATCAAMAAACACTTGTTGAAATGGTTTACATGTAGGAACTCGATAGTAAGCTGAGTATCACAAATCATTATTAAGGATGAAATCTGAGGTTAGGTGCAGAGCAGATTTGCATGACTTGGTAAATCTCCCACCTGTTTGACTCTTCATGAAACTTTACATCTACAGTAACCTGACTGTCAGAATTTATCAGTTTCAGTTTGATCTTCTTGTGAAGTGTAGCTGTGTCCCTCCCTTGGTGACCTCACTGTTCTGAGTGCTGTTTAATGTCCTTGTTGTGACTATTTTTAACGTATTATTATTTTTATTATCTTTTTATTTTTTTAGTCTTGTTAGTATTAGTATTATTTCTTTCTTCTTTCTCATTGCTGTTCTGTATAAAAAACATATCAAAAATAAAAAAATAAAGTATAAAAAAACAGAATTTTATGAAGTTATACCTCGCAATTACAACAGCAGTGATGTGATTTGAAACGTATCACGATGGTAACGAGGCAGCGTGTGGTCACTCAAACATACACCTTCCGTAGACTAGACCGTCTCATTTCACAGCCGTTAATGCAGCCGACACGAGCGGCCTACGGTCCACCAAGACTGAAGCCAACGTCGGCTGTGGTCGATGTTGGCTGCAACCCATGAACTGAGACACAGACACTGTATCTGAAAAGGAAAAGGAAGAAGGAACTGACCTTGTGAGTCTGTGGGTCGTAGAAGAAGTTCGACCAGTTTGGATCAGTCTGCATGAACCTGAACTCAAAAAGCTCTCTGAGGCACAAAATCAAAATCTGCTCACAGATCTGGCAGAGAGAGAGAGAGAGAGAGACCAGGTTATTAGATGATTGGCTCACCTACCTCATGTCACTGCCTCACCAAGGTCTGGTGTCATGGCAGAGCACAGGTCAGCCTAGCTCTGAAGCTTGGATGTGTACCTCGTTCCTGAGTTCCTGAGAGAGATCTGTAGCCTGATCCAGAGGGAATCCAGACACCAGAGTTGTGGTGAAGACTCGTTTGTTGCTCAGATCGTCGATCACATCTGGCACGTAGAAGAAAGGGTGATCCTTCAGCAGCTCCCTAGAACATTGGCAGATTTAATGAAAATCTAAAGCTTTGCTAATTTTACGACAGGTCTGAGACTAAGGTGGCAAGCAGTGGTGGGCACTAGTCCCCTAAAGTGCAAATGCGGACCTAAATTTCTCCTTTGTGCTTTTGGGGTTTTACTAATTTCATAAATTGATGTGCAGATTTGTGCTTTCTAAATTTAGAATAGAGTAGCGCTAATTGCAAATAATGTTTCACATTCAAACATCATTTTCATCTAAAGCAAAGCTAAAAGGCCGTCTAGTCTCACTACGTTTAGTAGCCACATAATTTGTTAAAACTTCAAGTTTTTCTCGAACAATGAAGGGGAACACCGTCTCTACTTATCACAGTGTATCTCCACTGTGAGGAAACAGTGACCCCTCAGTCTGTACTCTGACTTCTGACTCTTCCCGGTGATGGTTTTCACTTAGTACAGACTGTAGTGTTCCCACAATTCTTTGCGTGGCAGGAAGCAAACAACTTCTTCACTGGGTGACAATCTAACTGTGGTTCTGATTTGCAGAACCACACTCAGCTGTGCATATTGTACCTCCTCTCTCCGAGGGGCACCGTAGCAATAAATATTAAATAAATAATAGTAAAGAAAGAAACACTGAACAGTTTAAATTCACGCTCTTATTTTGAAAAGAACAGAGTTCCTGTTCTGTGTCCTGTAGCCTACCCAGAATGCATTGCTTCAGTTTTACAACAAATAGTTTAAAATTACTAATATATCAGCATGTTTTCTTACTGAAGCGCTGCCTTAAACATAAGAAAATGACCGAGAAGCAGCAGAACTAACAATCAACAATTATATTTTGTTTTAACACCATGATTTAAAAGTCTGTTTCTACAAATCACCTCCCCATTCTGCGCCGATATGTGCCAATCTGTCAAAGAAAATAATTTTACCACTAGATGGTAGTAAAGTACTGACTTTTCTCTTAGCTGAATGTTTTCTGGTAAATGGAGGTTATATTGCGCTTTATATTAGCTTCCACTAAGTTTTATTGAGCATATGTGCTTTTGAACTTGCGGACCTAAATAAATTGACTAGCGCTTTAGAACTTGCGGAATTAAAATTTAATTTAGTGTTGCCCACCACTGGCGGCAAGTCACTGGAATGGAACTGTTAGAATAAAGGGGAAATTTTCAGCTGCAGTGTCACTGAATTTTGGGTATTCGCAACCCGTAAGCTATGTTAACCTCTTTATGAAGTTTTTTTGTACCAGTCTTAATGAGTTCTTTTATAGGAAGAGCAGTTTGACTTTTTAAAATTTCAGCCAAACTGTGAAGAACTTACTGAAATCTTCTGGTACAGTTTGCTTCTCTTATGTAATCACACTCCAGGGCCAGTTCATGACTCATGACCTCAATAAGATGTTCTGGGAACAAACCTGTACAAGAAGTCAAATAAAACCACAGAGAACAAGAGAAAATCGTGCTGCTGTCGTTCAGCATATTGACATTAGCAGAGGTGACCAACTTCACACAATAGCAGCTGTTATCATATGAATGATAAACACGTCAAAAAACCACCTTGAGGCAGAGCGTTGCTTAAACTCAGGGCGGTCATAATGTTCCGCACGTCACTCTCGATACTTTTGGCAATTCCAGGGTACTGTAGGGAACATTGTGTTTTTATTAGATTTATTTTATTGAACGATATCACAGTTGGGTGTTTGATCTGTGTGGAAATACCTGAATCTTCATGGCCACCTCTCTGCCATCCTTCAGCCTCCCTAAGTGCACCTGACCAATGGACGCAGCTGCAAACGGCTTCTCCTCAAAGAACTCCAGCTTGTCCCTCCAGTTTGGTCCCAGATCATCATCAACAGTTTTCTGTAGGTAGAAGGGAAAAATCAATCAATCAATCAATAAATAAATAAATAAATAAATAAATAAATAAATAAATAAAAGATTTGCTGAGTTGTGTTTTGTGTGTTTCAGCTCATACTGTACCATCATCTGTCTTGTGGGCATGAAGTCTGCACTCTGACGAACACGCTCAAAGATTTTAGCCAGCTGAGGGTTGATGAAGGCATCATCTAAGAGAAAAGAAAAGTACTTAACCAACAATTAAGAAACAATTAAAAAACTGCAGGTAAACTCCTGTAGTGTTACAGGAGCTCAACACTTAATAATAAGAGCATTTTTTCCCCAATCATCACTGGGATGCAGCAGAAAACAGCTGTTATTACAACAGCAATATTGTAAACTTTAATGAATCATTTCTATTTCTGCTAATATTAAGTGTTGGTAAATTATTATTGTGTCTTTACTTTAAAATTGCTACACACCCTCGGTACACTTCATACTCGCTAAAAGTGACTATACTGTAAACACAACTATGCTTCATTGACAGCTCAAAGCTAGATATTAAGCTAAACTTACAGCTTAAATATCAAAACAGAGCCAATACTAACATATTTAGCCTTGGCTAAATTGTGTTTATTTAGGCCATATATAGCTAATGATATATTAAGCTATAGCTAAAAGTGACTATACTGTATCAAGTTTCAAGTTTATTTATATTTCTCCAAGTCGCAACGTACGTTGTCTCAGGACACTGTACATAAAAAGAACAATGTAAAGAAGAAAGCTGCAGATTGTGTTGAATCACTTCATCACAGTCTCCCATCCTGATTAAACGGTGGAGAGGAAAAACTCCCTGCTAATCAGGAAGAAACCTCCAGCAGAACCAGGCTCAGGACAGGAGACCATCTGCCTCGACCGGCTGGTTGGAGGACAGGAAAGAGACACAGACAAACACAGAAGAACTGTAAACACAACTATGCTACATTTAAATTGACAGCTCAAAGCTATACACTCACCGGCCACTTTATTAGGTACACCACGCTAGTAACGGGTTGGACCCCCTTTTGCCTTCAGAACTGCCTCAATTCTTCGTGG